GTTGTGAGGAGAGACCGGTCCTTGGAGAGGGACATCATGCTTGGGAGGGTGGAGGGACAGCGCAGGAGAGGAATGCCCTCTATGAGGTGGATTGATTCAGTGACTGGGATAATTGGGATGGGAGTGTCGTAGACAGTGCGATTGGCACAGGACAGAGCGGAGTTTAGGGTCGCTATGAGTCGTAGGGGACTCGACGGCACACAACAACAACAACAACAACATGCCATGTAATACTCCCTGACCTGTTCTCTAACACTGCCCCACCCCACCCAAAGTCTCAGAATAGCACTCCACAATCAAATTTAATATTATTAGTATTTTTGCAATAATGCATGTGAATATTTATAATAAGTGGCATAAGTGGACTATAAATACCTCTATGTCAATTTAGGTTAGGTTTTACCACCAAATAAGTTTGGATGCCAAACTTCAAAAAAAGTTTATAGTTGATAGAGTATTATGATAAAGTATTATGAGCCTGAACTACTACTACTTTTTCTTTCCCCCAAATGGGAATTGAAAGGCACTTAAGGAAGTACTGGAACTTGCAAGCTGTTTGCTCTCCAACCTATATCCCTTACCAAGAAGTGTTTGAGGCCCCTCTAGCTTCAGCGGGTCAGGCCTCCGTCCCTCCCCAATTTCAGAGATTATTAGTTTCAGGCTGCCTTGGAGGCCCAAATCCTACCAGGGTTATAGGTCAGCTGGAGGGCACCATATCAAACAATAATAAGTCTGAGGTGCTTGGCATGTAGAGTCCAATGTGGTCGTTTTAAGGTTCCCCTCCCTTTCATCCCCAAGGATTTCTAAGACATACTTCACTGCCTCACTCTCTCCCTCCCACTTGCAGCTTCCAAAAACCAATCCCATTTTAAACTCCTTTCACCTAAATGTTTGAAAACTCAGGGGGAAAAATTAATATATGCATTTATTTTTAATTGTGGCAAGTATTAATGAAACAAAACATTCACCATTGCAACACTGTTCACATACACAACTTAACAAAATTATGTTCAAAATGTAAATGATCACCATAATCTGTTTCCAAAGGTCTCCATTGTGCTTAACAGAAATCTCAATGTCTTCTAAGAAATTGGCTCCCTTCAGAAGGAAAGTCATGGACATATTCAAAGTCCTGGGTCCTACACACCCTGGCTCTATCTCCATTCTCACACTTGCTCTTGTAGCATTTAGTATTAAAAAGAGGATTATATTTCCCTCCATCTTCATTGGCTGCTCACAGTAGAACCCCAGGCAAAAGAAGAGGTCGCCTGTGACTCAGGGTCATGTCCACCTTGACCTGTGTTCTAAGGGAAAAGCCCAGTGACAGGAAGTTTACCAAAAGCCTCCCAACCCTGCAGGTTCCCACTAACCCCCAGAAAAAGAATTCCTCAGATCAAAGCCACACACGAGGCAGCCGCCTTAAACTCTTTTTCTCCTTCCATATAAGATCTCAGGCTTCTTTCCTATCACCCTGAACGTGAACCTCCTTAGTCTACCAAGTCCTTGCCAAATGAGGGCGGAGATACAAGAGCCTTAAACAGATGGTAGGAAACATCCGATGGGTGAAGGATTCAAAGGGTAGCAAAGCAAGTGGAGTCTCCATGGTGATGGGCTTACAGGGAGAAAAACACTATTTGTTTTGCCACCCAGGGTGAAAACTGGAAAGGGAAAAGATCAGACCCTCTTCAGCGGGGCAGGAGCAACCAGAACACTTGAAATGAGGAGAAAATGGGCAAAAGGTTTGGCTGATAAACTCTGGATGCACTAGTGGGAAATTTTAAGACAGAACAAGAATGAGGAGGACTAGGAGGAAGACCTATGAAAGGGACCCTACACACACCCCAAAATTGCTGGTTCTCCAAGGCAAGGATCACTTAACTATTGCTTTTTGCTCAGGCCCAACAAAGCCTGAGCTCCTCTGTCCTGGTGGCCTAGTGGTTAAGAAGCTGTGCTGCAACACCAAAGGCACACAGTTCAAATCCACCATCTGCTCCGAAGGAAGGAAGAAGGATGAACCTTGGAAGCCTCTGAGTTGGTTCCTACTCAATGGCAAATAACAACCACCACTCTCAGCCCTCAGACCTCCATAAATAGAAACATCAGGTTTCCAGCTTCACTCAGCCTCCTCTTCTAAGCTCCTCCTCCCCCAGCAATACGCACCCAGCTCCTCTTTGGGAGGCTCGGGTTCAGGTTCCTGCTCCTGCTCCACAGACAAGGTTCCCTCCGCAGGGCCCACCGGGGTCGCCAGCTCCGCCTGAGCCTTCTGTCCTGTCCTGCTGCCGCCTCGGCTGCTCTGCCGGTTACTGACTCGCCGCTTCTTCTCTGCTTTGCTGGTCATGGCACAGGCAAAAACTGCAAAAACACTGGAAGTTGGGAATCTGTGCCAAGATCTCGCCCTCCACCCAACTCCCTGACACAGATGGTCTGTCAATTGCCTGCTATGACCCCTGATAGCATCATTTTATCTGAGAAGCACCATGCCCTGTTCCCTTAATCACAAGGTACCTGGGTCCCTCAGTGGCACACTCCCTAGGATACCATCCCCACTTCCTTCAGACCATTTGGCTAAAAAAGCAAATCAGTTCCTCAAGATATTAGGAAGGTCCCAGCTGGAAACAAAGGAAGATGCTTCAACGATTTAGATCCTCCCAGAAGAGCTGTGGGTGAACATTAACATTACTGGTAAGTATATTTGTTTTCTCCTGGACACAAAGCCTACTAATTGGTCCTAAAAGCCTTCTGAGGTCCCAACTCTTCTCACTATTTCTTAGTTGTTAGAATGCACGGAAAACCTCATAAGCAGTTCCTTACTTCACCTCTACCTTGCATGCGAACTTCCGAGTTGTAAAACGACCCAGTGGTAGATGGAGTTTGCTCCAGGACTTAAGAACCATAAATGACATAGCTGAGCCTCTACATCTCGTGGTTCCTAACCTCTACACTGTAATAGACAAAATGCTAGTCTACAGGCCTTTTATTGTAAGAACCACCTTCCCTCTGTAACTTGATTTGTGCCACTATTAGAACCTCTACTCGGAGTATTATTGCTTTTTAATTTTTGACTCATGTACTTTTAACTTGTTAGTTAAATTTGTGTCTTCTAGGCTGCAACACTTCCATGATACATCTTCAAGGATATGAACATGCACGGCTAAGCACAATTGATAACAGTGCATCTAAATTCCAAAATCAATCTCCATAATAGTCTATGTGTTTCCTACTGCCAAAGGGGCCCTTTAGAGTAGTGAGAGAAGATCTTCACCCTGAAACCCACAGCGTCCCTTTTCAGCAGGAAGTAGCTAAGAGAATACGCCATCCCCTTTTCCTTATGAATCAGGATGAAGTCTCTCTCAGGGAGGAGTGATAGGGAATGGCAAAGGACACACTGACAAAGGAGATTAATCAGAACTGGCTTTGACAAGCACTGTGGCAATTGGACAATTAAAACAGACATTGGGGGGAAAGAAGAACAAACTGGGGAGGAGGGTAGAGAAAACAGTGCAACAATGAATGAATGAAAACCCAAAATCTCTGTAAATGTTCATTAAAACTAATAAAATTTAATATTAACAAAACAAAAAATATATTAGGAAGGGAACAGAAGTGAAACATAGTGGCCCAAAAGACTCCCTATTAGCGAGGGGTCTGTTAATTGCCATCAAGTTAATACCAACTCATGGGGACCCTATGCATCATGGGCTAGAACTGTTGGATAGGGTTTTCATCTTAATGAAAGCAGATCATGCTATCATGAAAGAGGGCCAAACAGCCAAGCTTTACCTGAGCAGTCAAGTGCAAGGCAGTGGATTTGAACGCTCAGAAAATCGTGGGTTTTTTGGTTATCAGCCACCCACTATGCCACCAAAGTCCCTTTAATGAAGGTTTATGAGCCTCTTTTATCTCTGCCCTTATCAAGAGGTACAAGTTTGCTTGGCTGAAACACTGGAGGTTTGGAAATATTAGGGTCCCAGGTTTATGGTCCCAGGGCATACACGAATAGGAGCAGACTCCATGGTAAATGTTTGGTCTTTATTCTCTGCCCATGAGTCTGAGAATTTAAGATATTGAGAAGAACTATCAAACTGAGGTGTAGTTGCCTAGCCTGTCAAGTCTATGGGCGAGTGGGAAAGGCTTCAAAGCAGCCACTGAGTAAAGTTGCTGAGGTAACAAAAACAAATGTATTTCTTTTTTCTGTACCTGTTTCCTCCCCTGAGGAAAACGGAAAACCTGGTCCTTCTACTCACATTAAAATCTACAACCTCCGTGAACAAATAAACAAGATTTTCTATTTAACTCTGTAATTTTTAAACCCTGAAGGACAGGAGCCCTGTTTGAAGTGAACTGAAAAGTTCTCTTAGCATATTTATTGTTGACTGAGTAAACTTCCAATCAAGTGATCATTTGACTCTCAATGCCTTGAGACTGGTCCCAAAGCAGGAAGGACAAAATTCATTGACTATCAAATTCTGAATTGTGGCGAAGATAGAAGGAAATGGGGGAACATGGCGGAGGCGTAGAAAAGCCTCCCCAGGAAAGGAGGATGGTGGAAGCAGGGATCTGGCCTGTCTCTTGCTTCTCTCTGAGCTGGACATCCCCTCTTTCTTCAGCCAGTGCCCCCTTCTCCATTGCCACAGGCTGCCATGAGCACTGATCAGAGGCAGAGAATTTCTGGCTTGAGGGATCTGTACTTTGCTCCAAGGAAAGGCGTTTGAGTTAGGCCAAACACATCAATAAAACCAACTGAGATAATAAAATAAAATAAAACCAGTGAGATTTCCTCACCAGCCTGCAAGGAAGCATCAGCTTGCCCTTCCCTCACACCCACCCGAGCCTCAGGAAACCCCACTGCCCAGAGGAGGGGGCCAATCGGTTTCACCCAAGGTCCCAGGAGGGGCTGTTAATCAGGAAACACCACGGAGTGGCCCTGCCCTCCTCTCAAAGATCCAGGGGACAAATTTCCACCCACAACAGCTTCACCCTACAATGCCTCCTCTTCTTCATCACGCCCCTCCTCTTTTGCCCTACAACTCTCTGCCCTCATGATAGCTTCTCCCCAGCCCACCCCGCACAACTGCCCCTTCTACTCCCCTCCCTCACAACTGTCCCCTCCTCCCTCTTCCACAACTAATACCCCCTGACCCCCACTTCCACAAGTGCCCCCTCCTCCCTCTTCCACAACATCCCACAGAACTTTACTCCTAAAGTGTCCCCTCTTCCCTCTCCCATAACACACCGCTGACTCCCACTCCCGCAACTGTCCTCTTTTCCCTCTCCCACTGCTATCCCCCTTCCTTCTCTCACAACTAACATCTCGCTGCCCCTACTCCCACAACTGTCCATCAGCACCCGCGCACTGCTGGCCTTCACCTGCAGCTCCCCAGTCATCTCAGCTCCCCTTTCCTCTGCCCTCACACACCTCAGAGCGCCCGCCGACCCTCTCCCTAAGCCAGAGGATGAGCCACTCCAACCACTATGTTGCCCGCGTGGCCCTGTGGGGTAGCGCCTGCACGCGTCGCCAAAGCAACCCTGGGCGGAGCCTAGGGGGGAGGGGACGGCCCGGGCGCGAGCTCCCCGTGCCGCCTTCGGGGCGCAGGCGCCCGGAAGTCCTGCTTTCTGGCCCTACTCCACGCCTTCACCCAGCTGGGTCAGAGGGCAAGAGGGGAGTCCAGGGCAAGCGGAAGCAGGTTAGAGACTGTGGGGGTCCTGTCTCAGAACCGGGCTGGAGACAGTGAGCTCCCCTTGAACTCAGTGCTGAAAAGGCAGGGGAACCCCAGAGCCCGACCCCTGGCCAGGGTACAGCGGGGTCCGTGCCTAACGAGGCCGGCAGAGGGCGCCCAGCACTCCGCCTGCACGGCTCATTGCGATTTCGAGGCGCTCCAGGATTTCGAGGCAGCCAGGGCTGCAGCTGGGGCAGGGGGAAAACCGGGGCTGGAGCACCCCTGCCCTCCCGCTTGCTCCCCCTCTTCAGTTCGGACGGGGGTCTAGGCTTGCCGGTCGCGGGGCTGGGAAAGAGAGGGAAAAACAGAACTGGAGTTTGTGGAATTTGAGGATTGGCTTTAAAGAGCGTTGCTCATTTTGGGGGGACAGGGGAAGGGGGTGGACAGAAGACAGACACTCCCTGGGGAAGATGACCGGGCCGGAGAGAGGCTCCACTCTGTATAGAAACAAAGACTGCGTGCTGGAAGAGCGAGGGTAGAGGGATAGGAGAGGAGGGGCAGACCTCCAGGGGTGCTAGGGGGCGCCCCTGGCCGGGCCTGCCAGATGAGGCGCCCCAGAAGAGGGCGAAGCTATGGGGAGGCCTGCGAAATTACAGAGAGCCAGGGGGATGGGGAGGCGCCCTCCCTGCTTCCATCAATAGTGCCTAATTAAGACAAAGCCAGCAGTGAGCCAACTGATTACATTTCCATGAGGAGCTAAACTGATGACATTTTCTTTGCTGAATGGGAGGGAAGATGCTGGCATCTTAGCTCCCCCAATTTTTCGGTCGGTGTTTACACCTGGCAGGTCTCTTTATGCCGGTCTGGCCTGGGGAGGAATGGCAGGCAGTCCGTCCACTCTTGAGCTGTGGCTGAATTGATCCACGCCCTGGCCTCACCGTCCCGCCTCCCCCACAGGTGTTTCCAGACCTGGAGGCATCCTCCCTGTGTCCCGAACGCCCCATTATCATTAAGGTGGGTTTCAGGGCTCTTAACGTGTGGTCTGCTGTCTAACCGAACGCCCCTGTGAAGGACAAGAATGGAAGGCAGTCTTAACTCTGTCCAAAGCCAGCTGCATGGCTCGTTGGGCTAATATGGGACGTGTGGGTGACCCTCTAACCAGATAAACGGGGCACCAAGAAGTGATGCTCAGACCCCAGGGGAAAGCCCCAAAGAAGTGGAATTTGTGGCTAAGCTTAGGGCAGAGAGCCTTGTGGGCAGGGCTCAAGTAAAGAAAGGTTAATAGATCCTTATCCTTTTTTTATTTTGTTTTACTACACACCCCTCAACCATACACACTGCACCCTTCGCTGTGCCTGGGGATCCCAGCCCCCTACATTATGCTAAATAGGTAATCAGACTTCTCGCTTGCTAATTACTGCTCAATCCGATTAAATGCTGCTGAAGCTCATCAACAGAGGTGGGGGGAATAAGCATAAGGGGGGCAACCACAGCTGTGTTGGGGATCTTGTCCCCAGGGACTCAAATGGACAGCTGAGAAACGGCCAGGGCAGCAAGACTCAGCATCTCACAGAGAGAAGAGTGGGATCTCAAGACCCTTAGCCTTACTGGATCCTCTTTTCAGAACCTTCTTTACCCTCAGAACCCAGGCATCTGGCCATTCCCACAGCTCCACACACACCCCTGTCCTGGATTTAATAAGTTCTCTTTTCTGTCAATATTTGATTTCTCAGAGCCATCTCCACGGAGAGGAGAGTGGGGGGTCTTTCCCTTGCTCCTCACCCCCTACTTTGGCCCTCCTTTGCCCACCCCCCAGTTTCTATTGTGCCCTCAACCTTCTCTGAACTTGCTGACTTAATGAAATGATATTAAAGTCTTAAGCAACTCCAAAAGAATGGTTGTTATGGTGAAGAGAGTGGGCAGGACGCCTGGGTCCCTGAGGGGAGCAGGGGCTAAGGAGGGGGAGAGTGAGTTAGAGGTCTAGAGGCCCTAGTCCCCAACAGGGAGCATAACTTTTGGGGTAAGCTGTGACTAGCAGAACTCTTGGGGTGACAAGGAGCAGGGAGTGAAGCCTGGGGGGCTAGAAGATGAAAAAGAAGATTATTTAGGGGATCCATGGTCTGCCGTCTGAAGCATCCGTCAGGGGACTGAGAGGCTAGCCAGGGAGGGGGGCTGTCCTCTGTGCCAGCAGCCTTCCTGCTGCCTATGCACTGGGCTGGTCCCATGAGAATCAGGGCAGATTCTTCTTCAGCCCTGACTCATCATTCTTCCCCCTTATCCTCCAGCAGACCCCCACAGGTGATTTGTAGCTGATACCCCCACAATAGTAGGGGCCAAGTGAGAGTCATTCTATGGCACGAAGACCTGAGAGCTTCCAGGAGGGGCAAGAACAGAGGCCAAGTGGTGGGAGGCCAAGGACCCCCACCCATCTTCACCTCACTCCACTGGGGACCCTGGCCCAGCCCCAGTCCCCTTGGGGTGGTGGGAATGCAAGGACATTTGGCTGGGGCTGACTGATGAAGGAGGAGGCAGGCACTGGGCACTGAGGCTGCTGTTTGCTGAGCACACAGATTCCTCCCCACTCACCAGCTGCCGCCCCCTAAGGCTTCTCTATCCTGCCCCCCCCCACCTCTATCAGCCACTTTATGGGGAGTTGACACCTGGGTTTCCAATACTAATGAAGGAGAGAGAACCAGGAAATCAAATCCTTCAATTCTCTGTACAATGAGAGGGGGATACTCCTAGTCCCCTCAGAACTCCCTTGGACTCCTCCTCTGCAATCTTTCAAGAATCTATTACTACCCAATTTTCATTTCCACTTATTCAGCATCCTTTATCCTATCCCTCCCCGAATCCCTGAGCCCATCCCAGCTAGTATCCAGCCTCCAAACTGCCCTGCAACACTTCTCCCAGTCTGCCTGTAGATCTTGAAGCTCTCTTCAGAGAAAGTGGCATCCCCCACATTTATGGTTTCCCACATTACCTCTTTGGAAGCTCCCGTTTTTATTCCAACTGAAATTCTAGTTGTTTGTTGTTGTTATTAAGTGCCATCAAGTCGCAGGCCTAGCGACTCTATGAAGGAGAGTCCTCAACGCTTGGGTTTATCTCCACTTGTTTGTTGTTGTTATATGCCGTTGAGTTGAGTCGTTTGCGACTCATAGTGACCCTATGTACAACAGCCCCAAACCCTGCTCTATCTTGTGCCAATCGCACTGCCTCTGACACACCCATCCCGATTACCCCAGTCACGGAATCAATCCATCTCATAGAGGGCCTTCCCCTCTTGCGCCCATCCCTCCACCCTCCCAAGCATGATGTCCCTCTCTAAGGACCTGTCCCTCCTTGCAACATACCCAAAGTATGTCAGACAAAGCCCCAGAATCCTTGCCTCCAAGGAGTTGCTTGGTTTAACCCTCTCCAGGATGAATCTGTTTGTTTTCTTGGCAGTCCATGGTACATTCAATACTCTTCTCCAGCACCACAGCTCAAAGGCATCAATTCTCCTTCTGTCCTCCCTAGTCATTGTCCAACTCTCTGATGCATAACAGGTGATTGCAAAGACCATGGCCTGTATCAGGTGCACCTTAGTCTCCAGAGAGACACTGTAGCTCTTGAGTACTTTAGAGAGGTCCCCAACAGCAGACTTTCCCATCGCAATATGTTTTTTTCCTAATAACTAATTCTAGTTATACCTCTACCAGAAATTCCCACTGCAGTCCTTTACTCCATTGCCCTTTCTTCAAAACTTCCAACACATTACCACCACCTCCCTTGATATATCTAATTTCTATCCCTCAGGGGCTTCTGAAGTCTGAACTTCCACCATAGCAGTCCCCTGATTGCCTCAGCCCTCTTAGATCCTTAACTGCTGTTCAGCCAGTGGCTGTGCCAAAGCCCCCAGAGAACTTGCAGCATCACCTTTGCCCTCCAGAGCTTAATATTTGGTTAAAGACACATAAAAATTGGTGGGAGTATAAAGATGGAGTCATATCACCTGTCTTCCTAAATGGAGATTCCAGATCTTTCTGCAAGCTGAAGTTGAGGAAGGGCATGACACGACTGAAACATACGTGTGATTGTGAAGTTCATCTTGCTGCTCGCAAACACTTCACCCTGTTGCCTTTGCACTTGCTGTTCCCACCATCTGGCATACCCTTCTCCACACTACGAGTTATATACCTTCTCATCCTTCAGAGTCCTGTTCAAATATCATCTCTTCAGAGAGACCTTTCTGTCCTAAAGCATCATCCATCCTCTCCTATTTTGTTCTTTTCCCTTCATTATGACCTGACATGTTATGTTGTTCCCCACTAAAATGTGGTCTTCACGAGAGTGGGGACTTTGCCTGACTTACCATATGTCCCAAATGCCTGAAACAATACTTGGCACAAAGTAAACATTTAGTGTGATGTTGAGTGAGTGAATGAATGAATGTGTGAATGAACAAATGAATGCCGTCTTGCCCTTCGCTAAGTTTGATCGTAGTTGCTATCCTGAGAGTGAAGCAGGCAGCGTGTGTTGTTCTGTGTGGGAATCGCTGGTCAACAAATCCATGCACTTGAGAAGAGCTGGAGGTTTCGTGTTCGCGTTGGGGGTTGGTGGGCATTCAGAGAGGCCTGTGCTCCCAGGGGGTGTGTCCCTGCGCTGCAGCCAGTGTGTGCCACTCACCTCCCCAGCTGTGCATCTGTCCCCAGGTGTCTTCCTGTCTCTCAGCATGTTATAATGTCTTGGCATTTTGTCACAGAGAGCATTTATCCCCAATCCTTTTCCTTCTTGTCTCCCCACCTGTACCTCTAGATGTTTGTGTGGGGGGGGGAGTCTCCTCCAGCTCCCTTGCCCCTCCACACACAGCCTTGCCCTAGTCTTGGACCCCTCCCTTTCTCGGTGGGCCCTGTTGCTGGGCTCTGAGTTGCCATAGTGACGGTTGCCAAGTCCCTGAGGCTGATAGCCAGCCATGGGGCTGTCGGCTCCATCCATGCGGGAGGCTGAGGGGGCTTCCCATTGTGTGGAGAAGGGGATGTTGCCATGTCAACAAACCCCCACTAAGGGGCAGGGACCAGCACTTCCAGCCCCCTCAAGCCTCCTCACCTTGGGAAGCTCCGGTATGGCTCAGAAGGCAGGAGTAAATTCCAGGAGAGAAGACAGCTTAGTACCTGCTTCCCAGTTTTCAACCCCTCTCCTGCAATACCTGCACCTCCAAGGGCCCTGGCATCTTGCTTAGGCTGTGGGGGGGAGGGGTCCCAATGGACAGAGGAGGAGAAAGGGGGAACCCTTGACCCCTAGGCAGATGGGAGACAGCGGGAGAGGACCTATAGTCAAGGAAGGGGTGGGCAGGGCAGAGGTTGTGACCCCTGCTGACTCGCTCCAGTGATGCGCCTGACGGCTGCTTTTGTGAATGTAAAATGGGGCGGAGTAGGGGTTGGAAAACCTGGGCTTTTTAGGAGAGATGAGTAAGTTAGGGGTCCACGGGAAACAGGTGCATGGGGAACTTCATGACTGGGTCCCGCAATCGCTCCCACTCTGATTCTGGTCACTCAACATCCCTTGTCCCACTTAAAGTCTTAACAGCAAAACTTCCTAAGCCAGGGGTGTCCTAGATAGGTGGGTTAGGGAACACACGCTTCTTGCTTCTGTCTTGTCTTAGGCACTTTGATTTTGCAAGAGAATCTCCGACTTTTCTCAAGCTGACCACTTCGTAGCCATTTATTTGTGTGTATGGGCAGTTCCCATTCCTGTGTGTGCGTCTTCCTCTGTCCCAGGTGACTGTCTATGGGAGTATCTACCTCCTCCAGGCTCTTTGAAGAGCACTCCTCATGCTCTGTCCACCTCACCAATCCAAACCAACTCTCTCCCCACCCAGTCCTCTTGGTTTCACTGATCCAACCAACCCTCAGTTTGAAAGCCAGTTCCTTCCCAATTCATATCCAGTCGTCTCCACAACTTTTGAAGTTTTTTATTCTTTTTTTGTTTTGTTTTTGTTGTTCAAATTTCCCTTTTACAGTAAAACTATTGAGGTGACGGCCAAACCCTGCCATCTCCCCCATGACAATATCAACTTCCTGTTCCCTGGAAGAAGGGTTTCAAAAAATCAGGAAGGAACTGAGAACTACACCAACAGAGGTGACGTGGCCTCTGGTGGGCAAAGCAACCATTTTGGCTGGTGATTGAAGTGGCCAACTTGGTGCCCAAGGGCAGCTCTTACCTAATGAAATTGAGCTGGGAGGGAATTGAGGCACACCCAAATGTGCACTAGAGGGCAGGAGGAGGTATAAGCTGGTCGCCATGGAAACATGTACCACTGTCAGCTAGACCAGTCAGTAGGCCACCATTTTGGTCACTAAGAAGGGATCTGCGTTGAGTTTGGAGTAGGGAATGGAGAATGCAATGAACACGATAGCCATCTGGGTTACTGGGGAAGAACACTGGGTTCTTGGGGTAGTTCTGTTGATTAACAGAGATTATACTGGGATGTGGGAAGGGAAGACATACAAGACAAATCGGGCCTGCCACAGTATATGGCGGTCATCTTAGCTGTCCTAAAAGCAGCACAGAGCACAAGGGAAGGGAGATCTTGGGAAGAGCCACTGAAGACGAGGAGTCTTACTCGGTCCACCCCTATCGTCTTACAGCCAGTAAGTCCCAGCTTCCTCCTGAAACAGTAAGTTCCTCCTGTCCCCTTCTCCAGAGGATGAACCATCCACCTCACACCCACCCACCCACCCAGACTAAGCCACTTTGAGTTCCAGCCAGATCACTTCCTATTTCAGAAGTGCTACTTCCTGTCCTGGATGAAGGCACTTCCAGTTCTTGCTGCACTGCTGCTGCCACTTCCCAGGCCATTTCTGTCCCAGCCTGGTCACTTCTTGTCTCGATCAAGTCACTTCTTGTCCCAAATGGAGCAATCAGCATCAGACCAAGTCCATACGCGTCCTGACCAGTTCATATCTTGTCATTGGCCACTCCTGGACAAAATGGGACACTTCTTCTCATGGTAGCCATTGTGACCCAACCACCCCAAATGGATGAATCGAGTATGTAGAGGCTTGGGGCAGGACAGAAAAAGAGGCCCTGCTGCCTACGCCCTGCAGTGGGACAGAGCCAGAACCCTCCCTGTAAGGCCCCTCATTTTGGGGGGACTGAGGGTAGGTGGTTGGTAAGAGAGGTCAGAAGAGGGGCCAAGAGCCAAGAGGAGACATGCCTTGATGTCCCCACCCAGGAAATGGAAGGGGCACAGGGTAAGAAGCCAAGAGGGTAAAGGAGATGTGGGGAAGAGGAACAGACCTAGAGACAGAAGAAAGAGTCAGAGATAGAGAGAGGGAGAAAAGAAGAGAAAAACAGTGAGAAGCAGAAGGGGATGCCAACCAACAGACAGTCGTTCCTGTCCCAGCCCTCCATGGTGAGGGTGGACAGGACACCTGGATCACGGTCAGGACAGGCCCAGCCTCTGCTCCCAGTCTCCCCAAGGGGACAAAGACCCAGGAACACAGAGACAGGAAGGGGCACGCATGGCCGAGTAAGAGCAGGCAGTGGTTCAGTGGGAATCTTAAGGAATCCTACAAGTGGAGAACAGGGGAACAGCCAGGAGGGACAGTGGGAGTGGCGGGGCAGAGGGGGCCAAGGATATGCTAGAGGCAGGCAGCCCTCAAACCACAAATTAAATTGGAGGGAGCACCCCACAAAGGGCTGGATCCAGGAAAAGCCCTCATACCTTGTAGTAGATGTTTGGAGGGCTCTGGGGGGGGCCATCCTGCACGATGTACACAGGATGCCCATAGTCACCACTCACCTTCTCATAGTGGGGACAGAAGGGGGGATCTGCAGCCCCACCACCTCGCAAAGCTATCCCTAGCTCCCCAGGCTCAGCCTCTCGAGGGCCCATCCCTCCCCCACCACCCAGACCCAGAGGTCCCCCCCTCCCAAAGGAGCCAGGACCAGGGTGGCGACTCTCCGAAGGCTTGGCCCGCCGTCTCCGCCAACACATGGCACCCCCAGCCCCTGCCACGCCCAGCAAGAGCAGCGCCAGCCCTCCCGCTGCCCCTGCTACTGCAGGCATGCTGGGAGGGGGCAGGGGGCCTTCAGCACCCCGGGAGGTTGCATTGCTGGTGGGGTCACCTGGCAGGGAAGGAGTGAAGGAGGAAAGAGGGGGTGGGGCTAAAGGAGCTACCTGGGCATTTGGACACCCAACCCTGGGGCGTTCCCTACAGGTTTCCATACAAAAGCCCAGGCCCTTTGGGGACCCCAGCCTCCTAGCCCTCCAAACCCCACTTAGAATCCAGGTGTCCAGCCCTCCAGCTCCCTGCCCCCCAGTCCTCCCACTTCTCTGACAGCGCTGATTGAAGCACTGACTTAGCTAATTAGATCTAATTGAGACTTTTCCTCATTTGGCTCCCATTCCCTCCCACCTTTCCATCCACTCTTCTTCTCTTTCCTATATCACCACCCCCAAGACTAAAAAGAGGGAAGGGAGAAGGTGAAAGCTGGGCAGTTGGGGTCGGAGAAGGGAGGAGGCTGGGAAACGAGGGGCCTGGACCTACCTGACGTGTTCTCCTTCCCAGGTTCTAGGCTGTGGGCTGACCCTCCATCTCTCTCCACAGGCATTTCAGACACAGGTTTTCTAGGTGCAGCTCCGCCTCGGGGACCTAGTGAAGACCCAAGAGAGAGGTTGACATAGCTGCCCCTAACCATGATGGTATCGCACAAACCGCCTTCAACTTCTGGAGATGTTCCCCTGCCTCACTCACTCTGTCCCACTCGGAGAAGCACCTTCATGCCTCTCGTTAGGCACACGCCTCCCTGCAAGCTCTCCAGGCCTTCCCGGGTCCCATCTGACGTGGCTGGGAGGAAGACGGAGGGGGCAGTGTGTCAGCAGTCCCGAGTCCACCCTTGTTCTGACCCCCTGCCCTGGTCAGACCACCACCTAAAAGCACAGGTCTCCCTCCCACTGGGCCTCGGTGGTCCTGTTCCTCACAAGGCCACCATCCCAGCGCCCCACCCCACTCTCCCTGCCCCCTAGTACCAATTATGTAGTAATCATGGTGTGAGCGGAACTCATGGCCCCAGAGATTTGGGCTGTACTCCTGGAACTTGATGGTGAAGCGGAGGTCCAGGTCTGGCCGATCACAAGTGAGGAGGAGGTTCGGGGAAGGAGGTGCCTCACAGCGGCGGCCCTGGGCACCCCCTACCAGGTACAGTTTGTAGAACTCATAACTAGGAGAGGAATGAGGGCCAGGTGGCCGGGCCCGGGGGCAAAGCAGGTCTAGCCGGTCTCCAATCTGAGGGTATAGCACATAACCACCCTCTGCCTGGAACCTACAGGAAGGAGAGCAAGGTGGACAGGGCACAGGAGGGATCAGAGACCTGGCTTCTCTGCTTTCCCTCCCATATCCCGTTGAGATGGATTCTCAGCTCCTCACTGCCTGCCTTTGTCTGAATGGAAAATCTGTTCTTCCAGAGCTGGCACCAAGGACTCCAGAGCGCACATCAGAAACAGCAGGAAGCCAGGCTCACAGGTCTCCTGCCCCTCAGTGTGCCCAAATGCACTCTTCAGCCCGTCCTCACCACATGCACACTGCCATCTCTCACTCCATCACCAGCCCTGTTGCCATGACAACAGGATGCCAGTTACCAAGGAGCTGGCCTCTCTGGAACTGGAACCACACAGCCCACCCCTCCCAGGTGATTTCACTGTTCCATGGCAGTCAACCATGGGGGCAGAGCCCCCTCCTCCAGACCACCGCTGAATTTCAGGGGATTCAGGGCAAAGGGGCAGGGGAGAAGGTGTTGAGGGGGGATCTAGGAAAGTGGCTGAAGTTAGCCAGGCAATGTGACAAGCTTGGAAATGGCCCTAAATGAGGCTACTGGGAATCAAGATTTGGGCAACAGTTGCCTAGGTTCTCCCTCTGCTCAGCCCTCTTTACACTGGGCTAAGTCTAGCTTTGCAGTTGAAGGTTCTGACTTTTCAGACCACAACAAACACAAGCCCACATCTCATTCAGCCCCACTTCACAGTCCTAATCATCACTGGCCCCTGTAGCCACTCCCTAAGCAGTGACAGCCCAGATAGTCCCACAGCTGGATCCTAGGAGATTGTTGCTTTTTATCTCCCCAGACTCCTAAATGATCCACTCCCTTCCACCAACACTCGAAAAGCCCCCCAAAATGCCCTACCTCCCATTTTGCTACCCTGTAAGAACAAAAGCTATATCCTCAAGCTATACCTGACCATCCAACTGCAGCTGGGCATTGGAGAGTGGGAGGCTGAGCACAGAAAAGACATGACAGAAAAGACACTCCAATTGCTCTGGGAGGAAGGAATGCCAGGACAAGGACATGTGAGGGCTACAAAGCCAAGAGGAAGAGCAATCACACCAGCTCTCTATGAACAGTATATGGCATGTTCTTACTTCTAACCTCTGTAAAGGCATGAGGATGAAGACACAGGTGCAGAAAAGTTAAGTGACATACCCAAAGCCACACAGGAGAAAGCAGCATACAGCAAGGATTAGAATCTGGGATCTGATGAGCTCCAAAGCCCATCCTATTCCCAAACCTCCCAGGGTAGTACAAAGTTTTCAAAAAACAAAACTCTCGCTGGCGGGGAATGGGATCTATATGGAGGAAAGGGACCCTGATGACCTCTCTAAAAGTGCTGTCCCATCCTGTGTGGCTGGAAGTTTCATCTGACCCCTGGCTTCTTTTCAGAGCAAAGCAAGCATGCCATGGAACAGAGGGCTGGAAAAGCTCACAGCAAAGATAGGGGGGAGGGAGACAGGGTTCTCCAACTCCAGATGTAAAAGGCTTTCATGGGGTGGGGTGGGGGTGTTCAAGCTTTCTTCCATAAAGAAGTCCTCAAGCCAGGGAGGCAGGAATAGAAGAATATTTTCTGTTTCTAAATTGTCCAACCCAGGGTTCTCTGACCCCTTTGGCTGTGGGCAAGAGTTAAGTGACTGACTGCATGGTCAGTCAAGAAAGCTTGAAGCCCCCAAAGTGAGCCCCTTCCCTCCATCTCCCAGCATGGAGTCCTTCCGCAGGGAGGCACCCTGCCTTTCCCTCCGCACCTCAGCAGCACCTACTCAAGGGCTCTCTCCTGAGAGCTGACATTAACCAGGCTCCCTCCAAGCCCAGCCCCCATACAAATCTCCCACAGGTCCAAATAACCACTCCACACCCCTCCTTGCTACCCTTGAACTTTATCTTTACCCCTTTGGGGTCTTTCAAACTCCTGACACCTCGATAGCACCACCCACGTGTGTGGGACCCAGGGGTCTGACCACCAGTCCCAAGACCACCTCTGCTTCCTCATCATCTCCCATCAGGGAGCCAGCACTCCCCCTACAGCCTCCTCCCAGCCCCGTCTCTAGCCCTCAAAGCAAAGCCCCCCAGACTTCCCTGGGGTGTAGGGTCTCCCCAGGCCGCTCACCTCTTATTCGCGGAGTTCCAGTACACAGGCTCCAGGCTGAGCCCCGACACCAGCTCCAAAACACCCAGCAGTAGCAGGGCCCCGATTCGAACGCCCCCCAGCCCAGCATGGGGGGCCCCCATGACCCCGCCAAGGCTTAGGGGGCGGGGCAGCAACTCCCCCAAAGTCGCTCACCCACTGGGGTGACTACCTGGCCCCAGCCCTCCACCCCCAGTGGCTGACGGCGACCCCTTCCTGCTCCGCCTGCGCTCCCCGCTGTAGAGGGCTCAGCCCCGCAAGAACCCTTGCAGGGGCTGTCTGCAGGCGCCCAGCACTCCCAGCCCACGCTCCAGCACCCTGGAATTTGGGAGGGAGCCTAGGTGGGGGAGTGGGGGAGCTGGGGGCCCTGCGGGAGCGGCATGGGGCGTGGGGTAAGGGAAGTGGGAAGGGGGCGCCGCACCGGAGCCCCAGCCTCACCGGGATTGAGGGCAGCGGGCTCGGGGAGGAAACCAGTCCTGAGCCCGGGAGGGGGAGTTAAAGGCGAGGCGGGGAGAGGGGGAGCGCCTGGTGGAGGGAAAAGCTGGAGCTGGAGCCCGCGCGGAGCGGCGTGTCCTGAGCCCACGCCCCCCACCCCTCCCTCACCTCCACCTCCCTCATCTCCACCTCCACCCCAGCGGGCGCCACTCTCACGCCCCTTTGTCTCCACCTCGGCCCTGGCCCGGGCCTGTCTGCCCTGCTGCCCTCCAAGCGTGGCCGTCTCCCTCCCTAAGATCCTGGGCACTCGCCCTCTCCACCCAGCGGAACTGAGCCCCCCTCTCCCTCCTGCAGCAGCCTCCTCCTTCTCCTCCATCCCCAAACAACACCTCTGCTCCCACGAGGGTCTAGGGAGAATAACAATAACCCCGAAAGCTTCGCACTTTGCGAAAGTGCAGCTGTGTGGATTGGCTTGACTACCTGTGTGAAGTCGGAGGGCAGAGCCAACCGTTCCCATTGTAGTGATGAGGAAACCGAGGCCCTGTGACTTGCCCAAGGTCACAGAGAGGGTGGGACAAAGCCTGCAGCCAAACCCAGCCTGCTGGACTCCCATTACTGGGGTTTCCTGCCATCCCTACTCCTTCACCAGTCTGAGGGTTGAGTTAAAGAAAAAGACTAGGGGTAAGCTTAGGCCCTTCTTGGATGCTGTGGAGAGAAGTGGGGCTGGGAAAGGAAAGCCCAAACCTCACTGGGCCGGAAGGGCTGTTTCCAATTATCCTGGGGGAAGGGAGGATTTGCCGTGTTGGGTGTAAGAACCCTAGCTTTCAGCACCTCTGGGCAGAGGTGACATTCCTCTCCTGCCTCTGCAGGCCTTCTGCCCCCTTTGATTGTGAGGTTTAAAACCACCTCTTCTGTGTTGTTTGGCAATGTGGTGGGGAGAATCACTGCTCTAAATAACACCCCCCAACACACACACACACACCCAGAAATGGAGAAACAAGGAAGCCGGTGACAGCTGCTGAATGAATAAGCCCCTCACCCTTGTCCTGTATCTAAGGAACACTGTATGCGACATCTGTATTTTTCGGCACCTTTACTCTTTCATGTGTGTCCTTGACTTGGCTATTCTCAGCCGCCTCGCTCCTGGGGGAGTCCGAGGGAACGGAGGCGGGTGCTCTGCTCCCCTTCCCCCAAAGCTGAGCGCCGCTAGGGGATGGTAAATAGTGTTGGGCTAGAGCGAACGGGTGTCTTGTCTGTCACTGTCTGCAGTCTCGCACAGTCACACCCAACAGTCTGACACAGAACTACTGCCACTCTTGCACAGTACTGCTCTCCCTGACCCCTGCCACCCCCACCTTGGGAATGAGATTTCAAACAGGTTTCCCCCTTCAGTTTACCAAGTTGCCTAGCAACCCGCCAGTCAATGGCACGAGAAGCCCCACCCCCCCACTCACTTGACTTCACACCAAGCTCAGCAGCCCCATTGGCTCCTCTATTGGCTACATGTAGTCCCACCTCTCAACCCTGATTTCGGAAACAATATGCCAATGCCCACTACTGCTGGACAAGGGAGCCCAGTACTACCCACCCACCACCACAATCGTTTGCCTCCCCAGAGACACAAAGACTTCAGTATCATAGAAAACCTTTTTATATAACCTCACACACTCACTCACTCTCTCTCTCTCTCTCTCCAGCCCCTCGCAGTGACTTCTAGCCCTGGTGATCCTCAGGGATGTTGGGGTCTGGGTCCCCACCACACCACCAAAGCTGAAGCTGACATTCAAGGTGGGCGTGGCGCATGGTGAGCAGGGGAAGAAGGCCTGGCTCCTGGCCCTCTTCATCCTCACTGTCGGTGGGCTCCGGGAACACACGCTGACCAGAGGCAGTGGCCAGCAGCGGCAGGCTGGGGTGCAGGCTGGAGGGGAAGGCAGGGAGAGTCATTCCCGTGGGAAGGGAAGTGAGCTGCCTCCCCAGCCCAAGCCCCCAGATGTGCCCACCTCACTCCATTGGTGCAGTCCTTCTGGGGCAGGAAGCTCAGCACCAGCTCGGGCTTCCCACTGGCCTCAGCAGCCCCGCTCAGGTCCCACACGGAGACGGCTCCCCCAGTGCTGCCACTCACGAGGAACTGGCCAGTTCTGGGAGAGAGAACAGAGGTCTGTGGTAGGTAGAAGGCATGACCTGGGGGTCAGGAACCCCTCACCTACAGGTCAGATTTGGGCATTCCTCAGGGCACCAGGGCCCTGGGCAAGGAGTCCTGGACACTCACTGGTCCAGATCGAAGTAAATGCGCTGATTGGTGGCCACCTCCCGACTCAGGGTCCACAGTGGATGACCAGATTGCCGGAGATCCCAGCACAGGAGCTCAGCATCCTACAGACACAAAACGTGTGTGGGTGGCGCAGGTGTCTGGAGTCCTCCGTCCCCTACCCAGCCTATTTTCCCTCCTTCTCCTCAGGTTTATAGGCACATCTTTGATTTGGGGAGGCCTGTGTTTCCCATCTCCTTCCTCCCAACATATTAGATGAAATCTCCACTCCGGCCCCAACAGCCCACCTTAGAGTCTCAGGTCAAGTCCTCCTCCTACCTTTCTGGCTCCTGAGAAGAGATGGTTGCCATCAGGGTGAAAGCAGAGGTGAGTGATGCCCGCACGGTGGCCTCTGAGCAAGGCGAGAGGGGAGCCATCATCCCAGGCATAGAGACCTAGGGAGCAGCCATAGGAGCCACAGGCGTAGAGAGGCTGCGTGGGGCTGAAGGCAATGCAGGAGATGATGCCGCTCTGGCCCTGCTTCTTCGCTGAGGGAAGGAACAGGGTGAGGAAGCCCGGATGCTGGCATGCACAGTCTCTCCCACCCTCATCACCACAAGCAGTGTAAAGATCTTTAATGCCCCCAGATCCTTCTGTCCCCCAAAGGGCCTCAATGTCCATGTCCTGCTTCTACCGTTTCAAATTCCAGTTTTTCCTTGAAAGAATGAAAGCTGATGTCTCACAGGAAAATTAAACTTCACATTTCCCAGAGATATTATGATTTCGGAGGGCATAAAGTACACAGTGGGCAGTTACCAACTCTTCTAGCTAGCTAGCTAGGTGACCCTGGGAAAATGTCCTTCCCTGAGTCTGTTTTCTGCTTTGCCAACATTGCCATCAAAGAGCTTCTGAATGCTGTACTGAGGATGGATGAAAAGTATGGGTGCACGGCTCCCAGAAAGCCCCTCTCCCCTTCCTCCCTTATTCCTCCCGTGGATGCAAAGGCGGCTTACCAAACGTGGACCGGACCTCACAGTCACGACCAGGACGGGCTGTACAGAAAACACGCACGGTCCGGTTGAAGCCACAGAAGAGCTGTGAGCCATCCAGGGAGAAGCAGAGCGAATGGGCTGCTGTCAGTACATCCTAGGAGCAAGAAAGAGCTAAAAACAGGCCCAGACATCTTCAAAGGCAAAAAGCTAGGTCAGGAGGGTAGCTGGGGTGGGGCCTGCAGGTCCATACCAGGTGGTTGTAGGCTCGAAAGGAAGCCCGGAGCTCCCCAGTAAATGCATCCCAGATGTGAATCGGATTTTCCCGGCTGCTGCTGGCCACGCTGAAAGAGACACAGATACTGAAGCCCCAGTGCTGTCAAAGGAAGGGGAGGAAGCCAACTGACCAGCCTTCTCAGCTCCCATCTGGAGAACATACCAGCTTCTCCCCCTTGACATCCCTGGCTGCCCTTAACCGTTTCTCGGAAAAGGTCCTTCTGGGACTGTGAGGGCTCATAAGACATCACTTACTAGGAGGTATCTGGCTGGGCTGAAGACATCAGAGAGTACCAGCAGTAATCATAGATGGTGTCACCCTCCACCATTCGAAGGACAGGGGCCTGGAGAGAGATGAGGTAAAATATGGGTCACTAGGGAAAAGGAGTCTAGAGACACAGGGGAGAAAGGGAGGTGTCTTTAGGCACTGAACCAGGCAGATGGGGTAAATACAAAGAAAAGAATCTCCAGCTTAACGTTCAAAAGCCAACTTGGATTTTTAAATGTCAGATTCGGGCCACTAAAAACCATATAGATGAATCTCTTTTTTTCTTCTTAAGCAGAGAGGGAGAAGCAAATGTGTCAACATAGAGACAGAGGGCCAACTGCTCAACTGTGCCTTTACTGAGCACCTACTGCATGCCAGTGAATCCTTCAAAAACATTCTCAACAGCTCAAACAGATGAAGTACCAAAACAATTAACCAAACAAAATAACCCCCTTCCACCAAGCTGGAGAAAACCCTTCCTGCTGTTGTTATTTACTACTGGATCCATTTTGACTCATAACTATCCCATTTGACAGAGTGACATGTCCCTTACGAGAATTTTTTTTTTTAATCTTTACAGCAGCAGATTGCCAGGTTTTACTTTTGCAGAGGCTCTGGGGTGATGAGTACAAATTCCAACCTCTGGATTAACAGTCTTAGCACTCAATCAATTAACCATCTGTACCATCAGGAGTCCTTAAAGTATTGTATTGTATTGTTGTTGTTGTTGCTGTGTAAGGTGGAGTCGGAACTGACCCAGACCCATCGCTGACACTCGCAGGGTTTTCAGAGGCACTTAATCACACAGGAGGAGACTTCGCATCGTTTTCCCACAGAGTAACTGATGATTCGAACCACATACCTTTGGGGTTGCAGTGCAGCTTTTTACCAAGTATTATATAAGACAATTAAAACCCTTTCCCTAGAACAGCAAGCAACAAATGCTGGCGAGGTTGTGGAGAAACTGGACCCCTTATTCACTGTTGGTGGAAGTGTAAAATGGTGCAACCACTATGGAAGGCAGTATTGCACTTTCTCAAAAAGTTGGAAATAGAGATACCATTTGACCCAGCAATTCCACTACTGGGAATATATCTCAAAGAGATCATAACTGACATCTAAGCAGATATATGCACATCCATATTTATTGTGACTTTGTTCACAATAGCAAGGAGTTGGAAACAACCTAAGTGCCCATCAACAAGCGAATGGGTAAAGAAGCTGTGGTATATTCACACAATGGAATACTATGCTGCAGTGAAAAACAAGGAACTCATGCAATATTCTTCAAAATGGGTGACTCTGGAGGACATTATGCTGAGTGAAGTATCTCAGTCACAAAAGGACAAATATTACATGATGCCACTGTTGTAGAATGGGACTGGCCTTGGGGTTGGGGAGGGACTGAGAAAGATGGGTTCAATAATGCATACTGCATTGAAACAGATGAGGGAGAAAACTGTTTAAAAGGGATATGTGATTAGGTATTTTTTTTTTATTAGGTATTTTTGTCATGACAGGAGTCTAGAGCGAAGGCTGCATAGTGGAGTGGACCTGGGGGAGGGTTTGTAAAACAATGAAAGAATTTTTCTTTTACTTTTCCAAGAGGGTAGTGTACTATGGGGGAGGGTTGGGAGGAGAGAAAAGTGCAACAATGAATGAATGGAAATCCTAAGTCTCTGTAAAATTTTACTGAAATTAATAACAAATAGATTAATAATAAATTTAAATTTGTAAAAAAAAATCCTTTTCCTACTGAAATCCTCCCTCAAACATAAAGACCATCCTGAATTTATCATTCTCACACATTTCCTTAGAAGTACATTCAAAGAAAAAAAATATTTACAGCATTGTCTTTCATGCCTCCAAATTATATACTGATGTCCTCATACTGCAAGTGCTTCTGTGACTGTACGTGTGAAACTTAATCATGTGGATGCATTTAGCGCTAATGAATAAGGATGACTGAAGATGTGATGCCTTTGAATTGTGATGCTGACGAAGAATATTGAACATACTATGGCCTGCCAAAAGACAAACAGATTTTTCTTGGAAGAAGTGCAGCCAGAGTGGTCCTTAGACACAAAGGCCCAGAAACTTTGTCTCACATACTTTGGGCATGTTGTTAGTATGGGCCAGTCTTTGGGAAAGGAGATCATGCTTGGAAAGGTGAAGATCAGCAAAAAAGAGGTAAAGCCTCAATGAGATGGACTGACAGTGAGCACACCAATGGGCTGGAGCACAAAGATTATGAGGATGGTACAGGATCAGACAGGCTTGTGATCTCTTGTACATAAGGTAGCTAAGAGTTGCGGCTGACTTGATGGCACCTAACAAGATCTATATTTGTGCCCATTCTCAAGAAGGAGATCCAACACAATGTGCAAATTTTTGAATACTATCTGAAGAGCAACAATGTCAGTCTGGAGACTAAGGTGTACTTGATCCAGGCCATGATCTATGCAATTACATACTATGTATCAGAAAGCTGGATTAAAAAAAACAAAACAACTTTTCACTTTGAGAAGAGTGAATAGGGGAGTGGGGGTGGGCAGGGAGAAAAGTGCAACAATGAATGAATGGAAACCCTAAGTCTGTAAACTTTCATTAAAATTAATAATAACAAGAAAGCTGGATAATGACTAGGGATGACAGAAGGCAAATTATGCCTTTGAGCTGTGGTGCTTAAGAATAGTATTAAATATACTACAATGGACTGACAGTGAACAAATAGGTTCATTCTGGAGAGGGTGAAACTCTTTGGAGGCAAGGATTCTGAAGCTCCATCTGACATACTTTGGGCATGTTTCAAGGAGGGATCAGTCCTTGGAGAGAGACATTATGCTTGAGAGGGTGGAGGGACAGCCCAAGAGAGGAAGACCCTTAATGAGATGGAGTGACTCAATGACTAGGATAATGGTGGTAGGTGTGTCAGAGACAACAAGGTTGGCTCAGGATAGCTCAGGTTCAGAGCTGTTGTACATAGGGTCGGTATGAACCACAAGTGACGTGACAGCACATAACAACAACAGCATCATCATTAATATCACATGTAAGCAAAATACTGATGAAGATTATCCAGAAACAGCTATAACAGTACATTGACAGAGAACTGCCAGAAGTTCAAGTGGCATTTAGAAAAGGTCATGGCACCAGGGATGTCACTGCTGATGTCAGATGGATCCTGGGTGAAAGTAGAGAACATCAGAAGAACGTCTGATTCGTGTTTGTGGTGGTAGTGTTGTGTACCATATAGTCGATCTGACTCATAGCTGACCCTCCAGTGGGTTTTCAGAGGTAGTTAATTGTATGGATGGAAACTGCCCATCCTTCTTGCATGGAGCAGCTAGCTGGTGGCCTTGGACTGCGTGCCTTTGAGATTGGAGCACAGCTTTTTACTCTGTGGATCATAAGAAACTGTGGCTAACAAGGAGAAGAATGGGAATCCCAGAACACTTAATTATGCCCATATGAAACCTATACCTAAACCAAGAAGCTGTGGTCTGAACAAAGCAAGGGAACATTGCATGATTTAAAATCAGCAAGGATGTGTGTCAAAGTTAGATCTTTTCTACATATCTATTCAATCTGTAAACTGAGCAAATAAATCATGAAGCCAGACTCTATAAAGAAGAATGTGTCATCAGGATCAAAGGAAGACTCATCAACAACCTGCGTTATGCAGATGACACAACTCGCTGAAAAGTGAGTAGGACTTGAAGAGCTTGCTACAGAAGATCAAGGACTTGGAGTACATCTCAACACCAAGAAAACAAAAATTCTCACTGCTGGGCCAACAGGAAACATCATGACAAGATTGAAATTTTCAATTATTTTCAATTATTTCAATTACTTGGATCCATAATCAACATCAATGATACCAGCAGTCAGGAGATCAGGAAACATCTTGCATTGAGCAAATCTGCTGTCAGAGATCTCTCCAAAATACTGAAAAGTAACGATGTCAGTTTGAAGACTAAGGTATATATGATTCAGGCCATGGTCTTTTCAATTACTTGCTATGAATCTGAGAACTGGACAATGAATAAGAATGACAAAAGAAGAATTGATGCCTTTGAGTTGTGGTGCTAGAGTACTGAATATTCCATGGACTGCCAAAAGAATGAACAAGTACATCTTGGAAAATGTGCAGCCTGTGTAAATCTTGGAGGTAAGGATGGCGAAGCTTCGTCTCTTGTACTCTGGTATGTTGCTAGGAGAGACTATTCCTTGAGAAGGGGTATCATGCTTAGAAAGGAGGGTCAAAGAGAGGAAAACAACCAATGAGATGGACTGACACTGTGACTGCAGCAATGGCCTCCAGTGTATCAGAGATGGTGAGGATGGCTCAGGATAGGAGAGGGTTCAGATTTGTTATTCAAAGGGTCACTATGAATTGTATAGCAACAACAACAAAGAGTAATATTCTCACTGCTGGACAGAACTGTACTCATGACTGTATTCACACTGGTTTAGCCTCCCTTTTAATTTTAAATTTATACTGGTGTGCATACAAAATTCATATAATTGTGCTTCCTTCACATACATTGTTTCACATCATCATTCCCATACACTGTTTTATAAAATTAATCACTGTACATCTATGCCCCCTATCACCTTGTCTTTTCAGATCTCCACTAGATCTATCCTAATTCCTTCAACCTCTCCCTCGGTCCACCAATTTCTGACTCTGTGATTTCTTCCCCTCCCCCTTAGCCCTTTCTTTTCCTCTTTGGACTTTTACCCACATCTTACTAGTTATCCTTCTATTTTAACAATAATGGTCTTATGCAGTATTTGACCATCTATGGTGGTGAATGTCATGTATAACTTGGCTAGGCTGTGCTTTTCCAACTATTTAGCCAAACACTAACTGTCATGAAGGAGTTACATGTGATTTAATCAGTTGACTTCTAGTAGGGAAGACTATCTTCCTGAATGAAAAGACAAGGTGACAATAGGCAGATGGGAAAGTCTGCTGTTAGGGGCCTCTCCAAAGTACTGAAGAGCAATGGTGTCTCTCTGGAGACTAAGGTGCATCTGATACAGGTCATGGTCTTTGCAATCACTTGTTAT